TCCATCCATCCATCCATCCATCCATCTCAGATTTTAGACTGCCCTCCCCCTGCTTGGGCAGGGCTCAGAGCGGTGTACAACATAGTAAATTCATAACACATATAATTTAAAAACAGTTTAAAACAATAAAACACACTAATTAACGTAAAAGATGGTGCTAGAAAATTCCAGTAGTGCCACTGCCCTATGGGAGGGCAGGGGATGGGAGTGCCCACAAGGTGACCCGTCGATGTCCTCACCAAATGCCTGGCAGAACATCTCTGCCTTATGGGCCCTGTGGAATTGCATGGATGTGATTTGGCAGAGAGTTCTTCCACCAGGTTGGGGCCAGGACAGAAAACGCCCTGGCCCTGGTCGAGGACAGCCAGACATCCCTCAGGCTGGTGACCAACCGTAGGTTCTGATCTACTGAGCGCAATGCTCTTCTGGGGGTATACTGGAAAAGGGGGTCCTGAAGATACATGGGGCCCTGACTGTTAAGGGCCTTAAGCCTGATCTGGTACTCCACCGGCAGCCAGTGCAGCTCCCGCAGCACAGGATGGACGTGTGCTGTACGCAGGACCTCCATAAGGACCGGCGCCACTGCATTCTGCACCAGTTGGAGTTTCCAGGTCAACCTCAACGGTAGGCCCACCTAGGGTGAGATCCCTGGCATCTGCAGGTCAAAGGATCAGATGGTAAATAGGTGATGTGAAGGACCTCTGCCTGAGACCCTGGAGAGCCGCTGCCACTCTGAGTAGGCAATACTGACTTGGGCGGCCCATTCGTCTGGTTCATGTGTCCAACAAGAAGCCCCCACCTCCCTGGGATCGCTGGGACTAGCTGTGCTGTTCTTTTCATCCCGGCGGCCAGGGATGCTGGAAGAACATCTCAAACGGGTGGTATTGTGGAGCCCTCACCTTTCTGTTGCTGGACATAGGATTGCCCGGTCTTACCTGGCTGTCGCTGGGGGTGCTCCTGCTCTGTCCTGGGATCTTCGCGATGACATCACACCCGGGAATGACGTCATCACGCTGGGCACGCTACTTATTTATTTAGTTATTTTGTTAGACTTACATCCCACCCTCCCCACATTGTAGGTTCAGGGCAGGTACCGACATATAGGTCTGCAATGAATGCAGGGGACGCTCTAGCATTTGGGCAAAACCCCCTCCCCTCTATGGTCACCATAGCTTTAACCCAAATGCTAGAGCATCAGCATGATGATGTCAAGTCCAGGTGATGTTGTCATGCCGGGCACATCGGGCATGATGGGGCTCTTTGGGGGTGGGACTCCCCCGCCGGCCAGCTGGCCATTGGCGGATTGGGGACCCGAAAGCAGGAGGACCCTCGCCCCTAGTTGTACAGACTGTGGTAGAAAGGAAGAGCTGAATGAACATGGGGAGAAGCAGGGCTATTTTTGGGCAGGAACGCACAGGAACGGAGTTCCGGCTGGCTCCCGAGTCGGCCACGCCCAGCAGGAACTCATTAGCATAATAGGCCACACCCAGCAGCAGAACCTCATTAGGATTGGCTACATTAGGGGTGTGTGGCCTAACATGCAAAGGAGTTCCTGCTTCAAAAAAAGGCCCTGGGTTTTGACAACAAACAAGGTAAACAGAATAAGAAGCAAAAGGTGGGCGTGGCTGGATAGCCACACTTCTGGTAACAGGTGGGTGCGGCCTAATGTGCTAATGAGCTGTGCTGTCAGGGGTGTGGCCCAATATGCTAATGAGTTCCTGCTGTTGGGTGTGGCCTATTATGCTAATGAGTTCCTGCTGGGCTTTTTCTACAAAAAGAGCCCTGGAAGAAAGAAATCTGGAGATGCTAGTATGGGCAGAAGAAGACAAAGTATTTTAGGAAGGAGCTGGTCAGCTATATTCTTGAGAAACAGAAGCTTGGGTGACTTTTATCTCACGGACTCCCTTTCCACCGCAGCTGTAACCTGGATGTCATACTAGAAGAAAGAAGACACCACAGAGCCAGGCAGGAAGGGTCATTCTAAGACGACTCTGTTCCTGCCGTGGTGGAAAGAGCCGTCAAGACAAGGCTGACTTCTGGCGACCCCCTCATGGGGTTTCCAAGGCAAGAGGCTTTCAGAGGTGGTCTGCCATTGCCCGCTTCTGAGTAACAACCCACGGTGGTCTCCCATCCAAGTACTAACCAGGGCCGACCCTCCTTAGCTTCCGAGATCTGACGAGATCGGGCGAACCTGGGCCATCCAGGTCAGGGTGTCCTGCTATTACACCTGCCAAGAGACGTTCAGAGGTGTTTTGCCGTTGCCTGCCTCTGCGCAGCAACCCTGGACTTCCTTGGTGGTCTCCCATCCAAGGACTAACCAGGGCCGACCCTGCTTAGCTTCCGAGATCTGGTGAGATCAGGTAAGTCTGGGCCATCCAGGTCAAGGCAAGAGACGTTCAGAGGTGTTTTGCCGTTGCCTACCTCTGCGCAGCAACCCTGGACTTCCTTGGTGGTCTCCCGTCCAAGGACTAACCAGGGCCGACCCTGCTTAGCTTCCGAGATCTGATGAGATCAGGTTAGTCTGGGCCATTCAGGTCAAGGCAAGAGACGTTCAGAGTTGGTTTGCCGTTGCCTGCCTCTGTGCAGCAACCCTGGACTTCCTTGGTGGTCTCCCGTCCAAGGACTAACCAGGGCCGACCCTGCTTAGCTTCCGAGATCTGGTGAGATCAGGTTAGTCTGGACCATCCAGGTCAAGGCAAGAGACATTCAGAGGTGTTTTGCCGTTGCC